CCATAGAGGAGCAGAAGGCGTTGGTGTAGGCGTAATGATATTTTTTATTTGTCTTGTCATTATCTACTTCTGTGTCAAATTTCATGAATCTACATGCACATTTTTTGAGCATAATTCCTATACCCTAATGCATTTTTGTGTGTCTATGGGAGCTCTCACACCATTTTATTTATTTTTGGAAAATGAAAATAGCCAAAAATTAGAGAAGCGCAAGTTGTAACTGGTAAAATTTTCATGACTTTTTGCAATTGTTCACTGGGTGAAAAACGGGGTGTGTTGGTTAGGAAAAAAGATTAGGATAACATAAGCAGGTGTATTATTTGTGCTCCTCCCAAATCTGAGTAGACAGAGAAAGAAGAGCATGTGAAAAATGTAAAGCTGTATGTAAATTGTAAACTGTAGGAAGATTCATTTGCTTTGGTGTTGGAAGAAAAAAAATAAGATAAAAAGCTGATAATACCAAACTGTATACTGCTCTGAATTACACATCAGCCTCTCTTGCTGTTACATAATCTCATTCAGTAATTTGAGCCCTACTTCACATTGTCAGGAAGACTTTTCCAATAAAACCTGTATAGTGTGATTAAACCAGAGGCCATGTTATGACAGTGTCTGATTCTGAAGGATTTCCGCTAAATCCCTCAGTTGTGATGACACTGTCCCACTTTCATGTGTCATTGTACATTTCATTCAAATCCCCACCTTTCTTTTACATTCAAGACAGGCAACAATTTCAGTCCCCACAATCCCAGAAAGATCTGTTTTAATGAAGGATTTGGGGTGATCAAAAGATGCATTTTGAACCTACACGCTGACTTCTGGTTACTACATCTTCTCTTTGACATTATATGAGGGATTACATCTAATCCCATTCAATCTGGTTTCAATCCTCCAGACCCCGTGTTGGCATCAAGATTAAGATACAATCCAATAAATTATATGAATTCTTCTTGGCTCTTAAAGAAATTGATTTGAGTCTTTGATGGCCTCAGTTTGTCTCATCCTAGCTCTTATCCCTTCATCTCTAGTCATCCATATGTTCACTTTGGTCTTTCATGTTATCGACTCTGTTCCCATCCCATACACAGAGCACATGGCATACCAGCACATGCCAGCCTCTTTTCTTTTGTTGTTTTGCATAATGTTCCCATTTTGAAGCATGTTACACTGAATTAGAACAGAGTATTTCCCCCCTGTGGTTTCTTGTCAGTGGCTCTTGAAGAATTTGTCACTCTGGTTCACGTTTTATGGCCTTGTGTGTTGGGTACCGAAGCAGCGTTTGATCAGAAAGATCTTTTGAAGTGTGGCCCAATTGATGCTTGTGTCTAATTCAGATACTTCCCATTGTAACAAACATTGTATTCTGTGTTGCAACAGGTTAGTGTGGAAATGTGGGTTGGATAATACATCGCAGCAGGACGCAGCGCTGTGTTGGGCGAGATAAAATGTTAGATCATGAAGCCTGAAATTTTGTTTTGTGATCTTTTCAAGGATTTTATTTCAGAAAACACAGACTCAGAAATAAATAAACAATTGAATGAGGGGCCGGTTACACCACATTGTTTTTCAGTGATTTGGTTGAATTTTTGTGTGTGTGTTTTTACATTTTTTTAATTCATAAAAAAATGTATTAATGCTTTGTTGTGCTTTACATTTGCAAATTAATTCCCTGCAAGCAATACTGATACAACTATGGAGTAAGAAAGCTGTCAAAAATATTTGTGCGCATAAAATAGAAATCCGTGCGTATTTGGGAAATCCGTGCATATTTGGCTGTAGTTGCGCATAAAATAAATATTTGTAAACTCTCAAATGAGTCCAGTCGTACATAAAATATATTGTGTGTATTTTATCCATCAGAATATGAATTGAAAAATTACGACGTCATGAATTACAATCACGAAATGAAAATTTACGATTACGCTTTCATCAGTACGAATACGAATTCACAGACGGAACTTTACTGTCAAAAATACGTCATCACTTCACAGACATTATCCATCGAGCAGAAGAAACATCGATCAAGATCAAGACTGCGCATGCTCAAGTGTGTACTAGAGGGTAAAAAGAGTAAAAGCACAAGAAGCTACAACAGCGACCAACAAGTGGGTTAATTAAAATCTATTGTAAAAATGTCTTGAATTCGGGAACCGAACGCTGCTGTATAATATTGTGTAGAAACACCTCCTTTGAACGGGAAATTGCACCTATATGTTAGATAACATAGTGGAGCCAGTTGGCTAACATCCGACGTAACGTTATCCCAGGGCTAATTAGCAAATATCAGGTTCTCTGTAGGTTTAGATTAAAACATTCACGGCTACAGCCACAGCGAGCATCAGTCAGTCTTCACTTCAGCTGCATTTCAGACAATGGGTTATACATGAGTTATAATGGGTTATAATTAGCAAATCCATTCACGTCACGGTGACGTTATACTTACCGGTAAATACTGTATATATACCAAGGTGTTTCCTGTAAACACGAACATTAATTGTTGCTGGAAGCTGCATTAAACTGTAATGTGTAACATTTCATTGGCTGTGATGTCTGTAACCAGGACAGTTTGGTAGTGTTTGGTGTAAACTGGGACATTTCAGCGTCCCGAGGAACTTTTGGTGGCATTTCATGCGAGAAATGCAGCTGAAGTGAAGACTGACTGATGCTCGCTGTGGCTGTAGCCGTGAATGTTTTAATCTAAACATACAGAGAACCTGATATTTGCTAATTAGCCCTGGGATAACGTTACGTCGGATGTTAGCCAACTGGCTCCACTATGTTATCTAACATATAGGTGCAATTTCCCATTCAAAGGAGGTGTTTCTACACAATATTATACAGCAGCGTTCGGTTCCCGAATTCAAGACATTTTTACAATAGATTTTAATTAACCCACTTGTTGGTCGCTGTTGTAGCTTCTTGTGCTTTTACTCTTTTTACCCTCTAGTACACACTTGAGCATGCGCAGTCTTGATCTTGATCGATGTTTCTTCTGCTCGATGGATAATGTCTGTGAAGTGATGACGTATTTTTGACAGTAAAGTTCCGTCTGTGAATTCGTATTCGTACTGATGAAAGCGTAATCGTAAATTTTCATTTCGTGATTGTAATTCATGACGTCGTAATTTTTCAATTCATATTCTCATGGATAAAATACACACAATATATTTTATGTACGACTGGACTCATTTGAGAGTTTACAAATATTTATTTTATGCGCAACTACAGCCAAATACGCACGGATTTCTATTTTATACGCACAAATATTTTTGACAGCTTTCTTACTCCATATACAACCAAGTACCAAATGTAACCATAGTTGTTGAGGTTGTCCCTTGTCCCCCTGTTAATGTCATGTAAGGGGCCCTGTTGGATGATTACACAGAAAGAGTTCCTGCCTATATTCATTTACATTATAAAAGTCATAAACTACAAAGTGCTTCAACGTGCGTAGATTTCAACATTCACAATGGTCTATTTTTTTCTCACAAAGTCTGCATGTGAAGTACATCTCTGCCATTTGAATGTGTTATAGATACAATATTTTTCTCCATTGCCATCATGTCCTATTTAAATAGATAAAGCCTGTTGGTCATCAATTTACCAAAAAGCATTAGATTGCATTACCAGTGTTTCCATTGTTTGCTGTAGCTACTGTCTATATATTTGACGTTATCTTCAGCCTAGGCAAATAGAATACAACAACTTACTACTTGGAGTCCATTACAGCCATAAACTGCTTTGCCAAAGTCTTTCTCTGTTGTGAGAAGCAGGCTACATTTCTTCTCCTTCACTTCCTGGTAGCTGAAAAAATATGCCTCCTGCCTCTTTTGTTGTAGGTGTTTGTGGGGCAAGTTATTAGCCGATCTTAAAGCGTGATAATGGCCTCACTGTGATTTAGCAGTCAGCACTGGGAGCAGTGTAAACCACAGCTGAAAGTTGCCACCCCAACTGGAACAAGCTGCCACCATTGAAAACTTATTGCGGTTTTAAAACAACTAGGTAATAAAACAGAGACATTAAGCTTCTAAGAGAAAGGTATATTAATGAATGTTCAGGTTTTGTAATACTGGACTTCACCTGTATAGCTACAAAACACATGATTCTATTAAAACTAATCGTGGGCCTATAGTTTGTGAGAATCTTTGGTTGATGGAGCTCCACAGTGACCGCTCCCACTACTTTTTTCTGGAAGTAAATTTCAAATCTCATTTTCCCCATAGATTTATTAAATCATTAAAAGTTTGAAACCTCGCTCAGGGCTAATAAGCTATTTGGGAACTAATGGCCACAAGACTTTAATAATAATTTTATTTGAAATCTGTTTCTGAAACTTTAGAGACTGACAAGTTATTAAAACAGGTAGGTTTTAAATGTATTTTTTGAAATAAAAACAACAGTGTTATGGATATCAGGGTTACCATCAGAAGCAAAGTGGACTTTCAAGTGGGCAAGACTGTTAAGCTCCATTTCCAAACAGTATTCCTTAAAATACACAAAATTCCAAAATATCTCCAAGAAAAAATATTAATTTAGTCCCTGATCTACTGGGGTCAGTCCTCAGCCCTATGTTCCCTCACCTCTGTGTTCCCACAGCCCTGTGTTTTCTTATTTCTAAGACTTTTCTCAAAATGAAACCATTTTTATCTTTATACTGCATTTAAAGGGATGATTCAAAGTCATTTCAACCTAGGGTCCTTTGCACCATGACCTCTGCATTACATCTGTAGTCAACTGCTGCTGGATAATAGGTTGGGTGTGACGACAACATTGGGAGAAATCGGGATAAATTCTGATGGAAATTGATGGTAAAGGAAATGTGTGAACATAATGCCAAATTTTGGAAAAACAAAACAAGCAAAAAAAAACTTAGGGAACATAGGGCTGAGGGAACACAGGCACGCTCCCGATCTACTTATTTTGACAATTGCAAAAATAAAATATTTTATACATTCTTAGCTAACCACATTTTTCTCATTCCCAGGTATTGCTGGAAAGCCTCAACTCTCTTGAGTCCACTCCTCTGACACCTCTGGACTCATCATTGGCTCCAGAAACGCTACATGCTTGTCGTTGTAGGGTTTGTTCTCCCTGATGGATGAGGAGAACACTGAGGACAAACTGCTGGGGTCATAGGTCGTAACTGAAGGGGGCTTGGGTTGTTTACAGCAGCTACAGCGACAGGGGGTCAGGTAGAGGTACATAAGAATTAGGATCATTGTGATTGCGCAGCCTAGCAGTGTTGTATATCCTGTGTTGAATGACTCAGGTGGAGGCAACGATACAGTTACATTCACCTCCCGCGTAGCATTCACCCCAAGTTTAACACTGACAGCTGTGCATACGTAGAGCCCTGAATCGTTGACCTTGACGGATTGCATCTCCAAAGTCCCATTGGGGAAGATGGTAATTAGCGAACTGTTCTTGGTAGCTGGAGTCAGGTAGCCCTTGCTTGGTGTTAGCCATGTATATGATAGCTCTGTGCTTTTTATGGATGTTTGGCAATCTAGGCTAATAGTATCTTCCTCTGTGACCAAAACAGTGGATAGGTAGACAGTGACTGGAAGGGATACGGCCTTTTCTAGGGTGCAGTTGTGGAAAAAACGGGTATGATGCAAGAACTTTATAGTCGCTCGCATTTCACCATAGATTAAACATCTGTGGTCATCTGTGAAGTCTTTGAGAGTTTCGTAGTTTCGTAGCTGCCAGTGCCAAAACATACTGTACATAGCACAATTACAGGTTAAAGAATTATTATGCAAATACAAGCCCCTTTGGACCAAACTGGGTAAAGCTTTAATATCTTCCCATGGTAAGTTGTTCAGACGATTTGACGAGAGGTCCAGCATGGTTAAAAAGGGATGGGTATGATCTTGTATGGTGAAAAATGGGAAGTTTGTAAGCTGGTTAAGGCTAAGGTATAGTTTCTTTAAGCTACTCAGGCCATTCAACATGCCAGATTCAACTTGTGTTATTTTGTTGTTGAAAAGAAGAAGTTCCTCCAATCGCCAAAGCCCATGGAAGTAGTGCTGTTCTACCAGATGGAGTTTATTCGATGACAGATCCAGAAACCGGAGACCAGAGGCGTTTTGGAACACACCTTCCCCCAGACTCGTGAGCTGATTGTGGGCAAGGCAAAGGTTTTCTAGCCTGGGCATCTTCTCAAAGCTGCCAGCGCCCAGATAGGATAGGTAGTTGTGGCTGAGGTCCACGGTGATGGAGAAGGTGGGTAAGACTGTGGGGAATTTGGTGAAGCCAGCAGAGCTACAGCTAACAGTATCGGATAGACAGAGGCACATATTGGGGCAGGTCCCATCACAACTGCAGACAAGACAGAGGAAAACCAGGAAGCAGCTCCCATTGGCCATGTGAGCTGGCATAGTTTCAAATGATGATACCGCCCTTCTGTAAGAAAAAAAAATATATATATATATAAAAAATTTGTAAAAATAAGTTAATACTGACCTCAGCGTACATCTTTAAAATATGACTTATTTATCTCACTACATCTGTTAATATCTCACATATTAAAAGATTCTAATGGAAAACAGAAACATACAAATGTAAATGAATTTCCAATGATGGCAATAGATGAATTTTTATATTCTATAAATATAATTATCATTACATTTGTAAAAAGTATATGAAGTATTCCACTGTACTGATTCCACATTAAAATAGTGTTCAGTTCAATAAAATTATCGAAATAAGTTAACGTAGTTATGTCATAATTTAATTGAATTGACATGCACTGTCTAAAACCATCTAAACAAATCTAGAAGTTACTAATGCATGTCCTGGAGAGTTAAGTGGCCAAAAGTTGGACTTACACAGAGTCGTGTGAAATGTGGTTCACTTAGATGATCCCATTTTATTCCAGAAACTGGAAAACAAAAACAAAACAATTGCCAGTCCAAGTCCAAAGTATCCAAAGTGCACAGCTTCGCTTCAACATGAGATTTCACTTCCTCTCATTTCGGAGTTTGATCCTATTGCTGAATGAGCACAGCATTTCCGTCTAATCCTGCGTGATTTTGTTTTCTATCTTCTTCCCAGGGCGATGGAGACACAATGCGCTGCTATTGGCTTCCTTGTTGTGGGCCAAGTTTAAGGCTCCCTGCTGGCTCGCCCTTATTTTTCCTCGTCCCAAATGAGAGAACCGCTGTACAAACATCCTGCCGAGCTTTGCGGTCTTTAACAAACAGCACACAGCTCACTTAATCTCCTACAATCCCCTCCTCCTTTTTCGTGTCATTTACAGACCAGCCGTGTGTCTCCCTCTCTCATCATTAAGTTATGACGCTGCACTGGTCCATTCACAGAACCATATCAGATATCATCACATCCTCTTCATAATCAATTCCAATAATGCCCAGTGTTTCTTTTACTGGAGCACTGAGCCAGTATTAAAGGCAGGGCTAAACCAGGACAAAAATGAGCCTAAACCATGAACAAACACCAGAAATCAGTAATAGATTTGACTATCTCATCTTAATCAAATCAAAGACACAACTACAAAGACTGAACTATGTCTTAGACTATATTGTACTATTTTGGTTTCTATCTTGTGTTTATCATCAATATATACAATCATGTTAGAAAATATAGTTGCATTTTTACAGAATCAGCCGAAAATCATATGTGTTTGTTTAATTTAGAGTCAGTTTAGAGCCAAATGATTATTTTTTGGGTTTGTCCTTTTTTGGATTTAGTCAGAGATTAACAATTCTATTTTAGACAAGGTATGACCTCGTTTGGACCTTATGCAGTTGTGCTTTAGAGCTGCTTTAGATCTGGTGGTACTCTAAGCGGTGAAAGGTTTCTTAAGTGGTACTTGATGTGAAAACTTTTTACATCAGCTCTAAGCTGGAGCTCTTATAGGTGGTTTGGGGCCTGCAGACACTGAAGTGGAGGGAGGCTGGTCTGTGTGGTCTGATGCAACAGACAAGATGCTGTATCTCAAATTACTGTAGAAGTTAATGCACTTATCATAGTGCACTGCAGTCTTATGCCATTACATTTTATGCAGTGGTTTTGATGTTATGCTCTCACTAAGCTGTGCTTCAATTTAAGATGCTGAAATCAGTTCACATAAACCTTTCTGAGGTGTTTTCTAAGTTAAAGATGCACTATGAAACTTTTCTGCTGGCACCTGGCACCTGGTTGTGTCCATGGAGATATGCTAGGGATTGGTTTCCCTTACATTAGAACAATACCATATAAAACTAGAAAAGCACTCAGAGAGCGCAGACCTCCACCAAGGACTACCCCCATTTTTTATATAAATTGTGATAAAATCAGTCTTCTGGATCAGATCCAGATCAGCCTTTGGAATATGAAAGAGGATCCCATTGTCCATCCCTGAGTGTAATTTCATGGGGTTTGGTCAATAATTAATCGAGATATTGAGAAACAAAATTTTTGACCCCATTTATCACAATGTTAACTAAAATTTCAAAGTGATCCAGAATCCAGGATTTCTTCTGGATCACCCCCAAAATGAATTCAGTTCTTCCTTTTCATATTTCCAACAAATCCTGAAAATTTCATCAAAATCGGTCCATAACTTTTTGAGTTATGTTGCTAACAGGCAAACAAACAAACAAAGAGACAAACGCCGGCAAAAACATAACCTCCTTGGCGGAGGTAAATATGCATTGTACTTTAAGCAGGCCACAACTCCCTAAGTTGGACCTGTAAGTCGGCTTGGTGCTTGTCTCCATGGAAATAGATAATATATATATTATGAGTAAGTTTACATCTACATCAATCTCACCTGTAACTTGACCTGGTTGATTGGCTGATTGTCTCCTTTCTGAGAGATATCTTTAATGCCATACCGTGGAACACTCAGGCAAAGGAATAGTAATACATCGTGCTCCCAAAAAAGGTAAACTTTTTTTTTTCAGTTAGTGAAGTAATTATCATGATGGGCCTACTTGCAACTTTATACTGTAATTGCTTAAATTGAAAAAAAGCAGACCTCCTAAACCTTCTATATTGAGGCAAGCATGCTATCTCTAGCCCCCAAACCTTGTCATTGCTATTTTTTGCCGGTCTTTACTGGACAAACATCACCTGCTCCTCTATGGGCTCCACACTATCAGTCTAAGTGTATTATCCGCTGCATCCGATCGCTCTCTCCTCTGACATCCTCTCCTCGTTTTCCTTCAGGCTGCTTTAGTTTGACTGGATCCACAGCGTCTATGCTGTTTGGTCATGGTGGTCCTCACAGCTCTGATTCCTGTCACAGTGAATTAGCTTTGCTTGCTGTTCACTGTGAACCCACACCACCTCCAGTACCACCTACCACTCCCGAAAAAGAAAAGACCACTGCAAAATGATTTTAAATGTCTTTTCTGGTTTTATGTTTTGTAGGTGCAAGATTGGAAATTCAACACGTTTCTGCTGATGACATTTTCAAATGTTTCAGGTAAATATATTGCTTATAAGTTCAAGACAAATATTTTTCCCACTGTGATAAATGAAAACAATATTGATACTTTGCAGTAACATTACACTGGGTGTTTTCTACATGTATCTCTAATGGTGAAAAGTTACCATGGTGAAAAATACAAAACAACACATTTCCAGGAGCCTGTGATCAATACGAGTGCCCATGTCCTGTTTAGGTGTTTGATTCAACAAAAATTGTGTGAGTGTGAACTGAACTGAAAAACAGCTGGCGATTGCTAGTGTGACTGTAATTTATGTGAGACAGACTAAGACAGATAAGCCAGTTCTTTTTGGTCAGATTGTGTTAAAATAAAGCAGATTAAAGTCCTATAAAGCCTCAGTTAGCATCACACCCTCAATGAATGTTGATGCCATCAGCTGCAAAGTATCAATTCTAGAGTAAATCACAGCTGTATGATTGTGTTTAGGTTGAAGCATGCTTGTAATATAGGCTCCGTTGTCCTCAGGGTGATAAATTCTAAACTCCCAGTTTACTGTATGTCTCTCCTTAATCTTCGCTCTCATTCAATGCTTGAGGCCGTTCTGTCTAGTAAAGTCTACTAGCTAAAAACAAATAAAAAACAAAACAAAAATAGATCCAAACTAGAATTAACATCTCCTTAAAAGGAAAAAAATGAAAAAGTATTAATTTAAATAGTGCTGTGCATTTAATAAAATTGAGATCTAACTGTGGTCAAAACAGCCAATTTACTGTCAGTAAAAGCATGCTGAAAAATTTGCTCGGTTGGATATAATTTCTTGGCCCAGAAAGTCTCATAATGATTGAACATTTATTTACACAAAGCTCCTACTTGAGGGAGGGATAAATTTGTCTTATTTTATTTTTGTTTAAAGAAAATAAATGCTGTTTTCAGTCTCTGCTCTCTTATTGGTTGATATCGGTTACCGGCAGATACTTAAAGCTGTAGTATCAGAATCAGTATTGGAACTAAAAAAGCTGGATCTGTACATCCCTAGTTTATGTTCAGTAATTCAGATTGAAAATTATATTTAATAGTTTTTAGCAAATAAAAATTGTGATCTATCTATACAAGGGAAAAAAGTTTTTTTTTTTTTTTTGCCACACTCAAGCCTTAAAGGGGTTAGGAACAAAAATACAGTTGCTGCAGTTTGAGACCCCTGTCCTAGTTGCATTTAGAAAGTGGATTACACCAGATGCGTGTGCTAAAATGTCTTTCTTTACCGTGTAGCACAATCCTGTCCCAAGGCTAATCATCGGCTTAGTTCTATACATTGCATTGCACACTCCTACACACTTGTTTATTTGAGTATGTTGTTTCTAAACCAGGTCCTGTGTGTTTGCTTATGGACTTGCTAGCCTCTCAGTTCTTGCAGCTCTGGGAAGACATTTGCCTACTTTGCAAAGAGAGTGTGAACTTTGCCCTACTGTAAAGCAACACTTATAGCTTGTTAAATATTCATGTACATTGATTGTTTTTGAGGTATTGTGTAACATGTGCTTTTTATGGAATAAGCTCTTGCAATCATATAGAGTCTGAACAGATACTGTATGATGCAGCCAGGTTCATCTGCATAAGCCGGTAATGATTCATGTTTGCTTTGCATATCCCAGATACAGTAGGTGCATGTAGATTTGTTTTAGCGCTGCTGAAAAAGTGGGATAGGTGCTAGGGGTGTGCAAAATTATCGAGATATCAATATATCGTGATACAGTATCATTGTCTCGGAATAGCTATATCACTATAGTGCCAGGAGTACTTTTTTGCTATCCTTTAGTATTTTTTTGCATCCGCATGACAATTTTGTAGCTTATTTACATACTACATACATATACATACATACATACATATTTGTTGTTTTGATTATTAAAATGTATGTATTTCATATTAACTTATTAGTAGTTTAACAAAGAAATATTTTTGCTGTTTTTAGAGTATCATCTGCCCTAGGTACTTCTACTGGTAAACAGGAGTTCCAAGAGCTACTTAAGCCATCTTTTGTTGTAGAGTATAGTGTAGTTAATAAAATGTAATCACTGTTTAGTCCATGTTAAGCTCCAGTTTTATGAATTCTCATATCCTGGTTTAATTGCAGTAGGCAAGGCAGGGCAAGGCAAGTTTATTTGTATAGCACAAGTCATACACAAAGTAATTCAAATCGCTTTACTGAATAAGAAAGACAACAAACAAATCAATCAATCAAGTTAAAATCAAAACATAAATGATCATCATAAAAGAGAAAAGAGTACGGAATAAAAACAGGATTATTTAGAATTACACTTGGTTTAGTTGTGTAGTTGTGACAAAAGTGACCTACATATATATATATATATATATATATATATATATATATATATATATATATATATATATATATATATAAAATTACTAAAATGTAATCTCTGTTAAGTCCATGTTAAGGCCTAGTTTTATGAACTGACTTGAGTGGCCTATAATTAAAGTATATTCAAACAGTATTTTTTTTTGTTCTTGTTAGCTGTCTTAATCTAGTATTTTAATGAAGATGGTACCATTTTGTCTTGTGGGCATTTCATGAACAACTAAGTGCTTCTTTGTTTTCATTATTGACTGCCCTCTATCCCTTTTAAGTGCAATCATTCACCATTGTTCACTTCGATCATTTCAATCAAAACATTACAGCTCTACAGCTCATTTCAACTATGCAATTGTGTTCAACTTCTGATTGCTTCTTTTTAACAAAACAAAACAAAATGTTGAACAACTTCTCACCTTTTGAGCAAATCCACCATATTCCCCTTTATACAGTAGCTCTTGTTTTAACTGGTCTGCTTGGCTGTAGCCTGCTGCTCTGCGCAATCCCCATAATCTAATCAGTATCTCCGACTGACGCTGCTTTGTAAATCCTCATTCGCATATATTTGATTACAGGAAGTGCGCGTATGCAAAATCATTGCAGGGCCGTGAAGGCAGGCAGGTTCACAGTGGACCTCAAAAGCTTAAACCCTCAACCCTGCTGCATCCTGCCCCAAGCACAAAGTGATTTTCTCTTTACCATCTGCTGTGGAGCCATGGCGGGGGGAAAAGGGGGAGAAAGAATCAAACACATAGCCACAGCAGTAGCAGCAGTGTTGGATGTGTCTGCTCTTATCTCGCCCTTGAGAACCACTGGAGCTCACTACAGTCGATAATATAAAGCAGTGTATTTTCACATGCACTTGGAATATTATTATACAATATGAAAGCTCTGGAAAAAAAAGGATAACAGAGAACAGTTCATTTTATACTATTCCTTTTTCACATGTATCACGGATATGTAGCGTGACAAGCAGTGAACGATGTCTGTCAACGCACTGACCATATCGAGCAATGACAATAATGTTATAGAGACCAGATCAAGACTAAAATGGGACCATTTTGTATAGGGTTTACATACTTTTAGTATACCAAAGCCACACATAATCATAAAACTACATTTGTTTTTACACCAAGTAATAATATTTTCTTTAGTATTACCATATGATCCTTTACTAGCTCTGATAAAGAGCATTTAAAAATGATTCAGTAAGTGGTGTGTTTTTTTATGTCTGAATGTCATTCACTTCTAGTCTTAAAACAAATTATTAGTGCCCATTTGTTCTCTTACGGACCTCTTGTGTCTTGTATTAGTAATGCTATCGTGCTGTATATCCATATTCAAAATCTATCTTTTCTCACAGCTCTAATCTTTTTACATTTTGACTGCATTTTGTCAAAGTTCTGTTTTTTTACCTGCTGCATTTTGTTCTCCCCAGTGACACATCTGTTTAAAAAAAAAAGGTAGATGAATCATACAGTGAAAGTTTGCTTGAGCTGTGGTATTGTTTGAGGATCATTCTCAGTGCTGGAGGAGCTTTTTTTAAAAAAAAATTGTTACACAAAGCTCCCAAAACCATAGTTGTACTGATCGTTGTGTGTTTCATCATGTCACACTCTGTAGCCAACATGACTCTGTCCCATCAGGAGGCAGAGAAACAAGAACTCCATCTAGTGGCTTCCCCTGTCAACTGGGATTGTCTGCTATCAAAGCACAGAAGAGCTGTTAAGATTTTTAAATATACCACTGTGTATGTTTTTCATGTACAATATTGAAACATTTAGCTTATAAATCTTCCAAATAAAATATAATACTAATTTATATTGTTTAAATCCAGGCTCAAAACTCATCTATTCAGACGAGGAATGGGTGTCATTAAGAAGCTGTCGATACGATACATAGCTCGATCCATACGCCACGATATGATACATATTTTGATACAGTGCACTTTCGATTTGATGCGATATATTTCAAATTGATTTGATACAACTCTAAAAAAATAGTTGCTCAGACGCTGTGATACTAAAAGTCTTTGTTAAAGCACTTCTTGTGCAAAGTCAATTTGAAACTTGCAAAAACAGTGAAAATGTCAAATGTGTTGCATAAAAGAGTTTCCTTCCTTTAAACAAGCAACAACATTATAGTGCTATAACAAAATAATTTAGTAAAATATACCAAAAAAAAAAAAGTACTCTTGGCGATATAGCAATACAGCAGCCCATGATATCGATACTGTATCATCACATTAAACAATATGATATATTGCTATTTCAATTTTTTTTCACACCCCTAATTCAGACTGACTTTTAACACTTAGTAATGCAATGAGACTTTGCACAATTTCTTAAATTTCATTGTTTAATGTTTTGAATGTTTGTATATTGTGTTGGTTTTATTGGAAAGCACTTTGGTCACCTTGAGTGTTGTAAAGGGCTCTATAAATAAAGTTTGATTTAATGGCCAGTATTTGTTGTTAGAGTGCAAACACAGTTGCATCAGTTGTATAGAGCTTCCTATTTCTTGCTCCATAAATGTTTGAATGGGCAACAAAATGGTACTGTGGACACTAATGAAGATCCAGTGATCCAAACACACAAGCTCTTAACACTATATGTCAGACTTCAGTCAGTACTCTTTATAAATAATCTTGTACTCTGTAATCTCCCTGTAATCTGTTAGTAGCTGTTTGAAGGCTGTGTTTTATCCATGCTCAGATCTAGAATTCATAAAATGTCCGGTCTAGAATCGATAAAATGTCCATCAAATGTCTTCAGAGATATCAATACAGATAACTCAGTGCCTATCCATGTCTTAACGGACCACCATTAGTCCAAACAGGAGTTAATATGATTGCTCAGTGTTTACCCTTTCTTGCTTCCTTCCATAGAAAGCCAATTATGCATGAGTAGCAGTAAATGAGCGCTGGACGTTGCTAATGGTTGTGCATCTCCCCTTTGTGTTCACATTACTGGGGGATATGGCTTGTGAAATGAGATCACTACTGAATACTGTGTGTGCTAGCTGCGCTCGTGCTATAAAACATTATGGAGCAGAACATGGTGAATTGAGTGAAGTGGCAGTTTGGGGTGGCTACGTGTCTACTAGTTTTTAAGTCTCCTATAGTTCTTTCCTTGTTCTTTTATCCCCTTCTCAAGAGATTTGCCTTTCATGAGCCACTTCCTTGTTGGAGACGTTTCGGCGGTCTCCTCTCATCTTGTACTCCTACCCTTGCGTTTTTTGCCCCCACCCTTATCAACCCACATCACTTCGAGCACTCTTTCATCCGCCATGCTTGGTGGTTATCAGCAGAGACAGACTGAACACCAGCCATTGGCCTTTCCCCTTCTTTCAGATCACTTACTGTACGCTCAACCGACGCTTTGTGATAATCAATAGCAATTATAGTACAGTAGACAATGAGGGAATTTTATATAAAGCTCAGCAATAAAACAAACCAGAGAGTCCATTTATAAGTTTGTGCAAAAATAAATACTTGATGGCAGCCAATGGATAGGGCAGCACAGGCCAGGAAAACAAATGGATTTTTGCCTTTTGGCAGTAGATCGAAAGGATTTATGGTGCTTTTTGATATATGTATATGCTGTATATATAAGACGCAAAGCAAACTAAATGGGATTATTCCTTTTCAAAATCTTTTGAGACATTGCTGCAGTTAAGAAAATGGCTTTGAAACATAATAAGTTTATTAAAGTTGTCTTAAAATCGATATCCAAATTCTAAATGTTAAACAGTTGATTTGAGTGGGCCTGTCTTGATAACAAATTTTGAAGCTCAATACATTGCTACAGAGATATACTGTGATAAAAGATTGAAGCTACTTTATGCCTCTGACAAAAGCAGGATAATTCCAGTAAACCAATCTGAATAGACAGAATCAATAAAAGGCCTGAGCTGCAACAAATAATTAATAGTGAACCAATAATTAGCCATAGAAGTTAGTTATTATACCGTCTACAGCTCAAATCAGATCGTATTACATGAAAAAGCACTAAAATCTCTTCTCTAAGTCGGTATTGTATTGTAGGCCTAGACTTGAGGAGGTATTAAAATGAACATGAACTTTTTCTAGAAATAATAAAATTAGAAACTCTGGTTATTCTGAGTTGAATATGGCATTTATTTGTTTACAAGAATAATTTTAATATGGAGGTGATAGGAAGAGTTAGGAGTTGCACATCAATCCATCTTTTGCTCAGTGAAATGTGTGTGTTTTTCCCCAAAGGTATTTTTTATTTTAGTATAGTGACAGCAACACCATTAGCCAGTGTTGGTGTGTTGTGAATAAAATATGGCTTGGTGAGATAGCTCAAAGCCTTTACATTCCACACTGTGCCCTGACTTTGCCTTTTTAAATGTATTAATGCTATAACCATGAACCAATCTCCATATTGTCCCCCAAATGTTTTTCTGACATTGAAAGTGAATATGCTTTAGTCTGAAGCATCCTCACTGCAGGTCAGGTCCATACTTTAATGGTTAAAAATTCTCTTGCAGATCTCGCACAATCCACCCACATACATATGTTGTGTTACACTGGCTGCATTGAAGGAATAGATGAGAACATGCCTAAGATTTGACACATTTTTACAGTAAAAATTGCAGTAAAAATTGTGCCTTCCCATAGATCAGTTGAGTCAACTCATTTTTGCTTTTTTTTTTTTTTTTATAGTTTGAGAGCATGTGAGATACATAAAAATTCTTTCTATTAAAAATAGATTTAGATTTTCTGATATGTAGTTAGTTAACTATCTGTCATAATTAAATCATTTTTTCTTATTTCTTTCAGTGGTGCTTTACTTTGAATTCTAATTGCACCTTATCCTACACAGCCAAACACTTAAGTTAGTCAAATATTGAAAAAATGTAAGGCAAAGATGAACTTTCCCTGAATAGTTTTAGAATAGTCAAAATGGGTTGTTCGACTGGCTCTATTGCTCAGATTAGTTCTCCTTGGAGCTGTTTGGTATGCTACGTGATTAATAATTACAACCTGCGTTTACATTTTCCTGATCCTGGGGACAGAGGTTTGAGCAAAATGAGCAACTGTTGTCATTCAAACTCATCAAATCTTTTCTTAGGCAATAAAATTTTTATTGTACCTGAAATTATCCGTTTTATCATGAGGCAGATGTCAGCGGTTAATAAAAAGATGTTCAGTAATTTATGGAGCTGTGAGATGTGGGTAATACTGAAGTAAACATGAAATTACTGCTTCGAACCTCAAACAGACCGTTACAGATCACTTAGGAAAATGGAAACACTTTCAGACCGCACTGCTCCTCCTCCTACCGCCCCCATGGAAAAGCAGCTTATCAGAACTAGTGTTAGACCACATAGCAATATAAAAAAATATATATTGTTCAGAATATTATTTCCCATGAAACCATGTTCCTCCCTTGCTATGTGCAGTAATGTTCTTGCTACTCAGCTGAATATTTTTCTTCTCTCTGTGTTAAATAGAGACATGGGGCTTCAGCTTGTCCTATAATCACTTCAATAATAATAATAACTTTGATTTGTATAACTCGAAAGACACCCAAAGTGCTTCACAATTACTCACAATTCACTCACACACTTAGACATACAAACACACACAAACATAAGAAATACAGCCCTATTTTCTTTGTTTGTGTGTGCCTCACATACCAATACGGAAACTGTATTGGTATGTGAGGAGGGAGGTCCAGACTGTAGGAGCTGAGACACAGAAAGCCCTGTCTCCCATAGTCCACATCCTGGAGCAGGGAACAGGGAATTTAAGAATATAGATTACAAGTTGAGAAAAATAAACTCAGATTAACATAGTTCGCATTTACTCTAAATTTGCTTTGTCTTTTTTGTGTCTTTATGCTACAACTCTGTGGGAGGTCGAGAACTAGTTTAACAAATACTAAATAATGCATCTTTACTGTTGTTCCCCAGACCAGAAGTAAACATGATAAAAACCCTTTAAAAATGGTTAAATGGGATTCAATTCTGGGATATAGCATTTATGACATATGATTAATGATCAAATTCTCCCTGTTGGACTAGACTTTTGGATAATGCTTTTTTTTTTACTTACGCATACTTTCTTTATCCAGACTTTGAATGACTGCAAATAAAGGTGGACAATACTGACAAAAGCAGTTCAAGAACTGAACGAAAAGGTAAGAAGGTAAAACTAAACACAAATGTATATTCTTATTTGAAAGTGGAGTAAGTCATTTAAAAAAAAAAAATCAGCTCTTTGCAGAATTTTAAAATAACATTTTCTTTTAAAAATTTATATGCCACCTCTAACTGCAAGTTCTGACTTATTTTGAGTAGTATTTCTCTGCTGTGCTTGTGTGTGTCATGTTGTGTGTTTATGTGTCTGTCTGTATGTAGGCCTTAAGCCACACACTGATTAAAGCATAATTTTGCATCACTTTCCACTTCTTGATATGTTTACCTATTCAGCATGTTAATATAGTCCCTGAGGGGAAAATTTTGGTTGCCAGATATGAGCTACAAACCAGGAGCTTTTGGCTGAAAAAGTTACCAAGAAACATTGTTTGAATACAGGTTTCATACTCAAATACCTGGAGCCAGTTAATTGGTACGGATCTCACAGCTCATTTTATGTCATTTCATTGGTTTAAACAATACATACTGCATATACTACAGTAATAAAACACTGCAAATTTTATGAGAGCCATTTTATCACTGTCATTGACTTTGCTAGCACAAATATTAGTCCAGTGAAGACCAATATACATTATGTTTTGGTTATTTGGTGTATAGTCTTATCTAACAGAAATTACCTTGTAGTGAGGGCCATCTTAAAATTCTTAAAATGTACAACCCCACAAAGCTCAATTTTAGATTTAGATTCAAGTGCACAGGTTTGTTCCATAGCCCTAACTTTTTTTCTGGGGACCCACATTTTAAAAGTCACAAACCTTTGCAACCCAAGTCAATAGATATTATTCAAAAATCAAAAAATAAAAGAGGATTTGACCATTACTGAACATTAATGAGGATATTTTATTGTTGTCTGAGTGACCGTGTCTCTCTGAACAATTAGTATTACTCAATAAAAACAGTCATTGAACCAGCAATAAAAGGAATCCATAAGTCACCTATTTGGACATTAAATGTAGCCCATTTCTTTTTCTTTTCAACATTCAATTGAACCAGCAATATTGGGAGAAAATAGACAATAAAATAATTACAAAACGTTTTAAAATTATTAGGGGTGTAACAACCAAAATATCATGATATCGTATCATCAAAAGTCTAATAATACCATGGGCCATCACAATATATTGAATCACAAGTTTCTTTGCTTAAATTCATTGTTATGGTGCAGCAGTAGCTAAAAAAAAAAAAAAAAAACAGAGAGAACTATATCGACCATGATCCTTTGCTCCGTTTTGGTACAAACTACATGAAGAAATAGCACTTCTAAGGACTTCTAAATCTTAGTTCTTTGAATTAATTCTTGTAAAAACATTTTAAGAGGAAAAAGGAACATATTTACAATTTTTTTAGCCTCCACAAAATATTACAGTAAATGTCATACCGTGAGATTTGGATATTGTTACATCCCTAGAAATGATATGAGATAGGTGGGCCTGTCTGCGTTTTCGTAGCGCGTTCCAGTCCGGGGTGCAGGAGGAGAGCATAACACGCAGATCAGGCACAGCATTCAATCTGTTTCTTTGCTTGGTCTTCATTTTTGTGATTACCGAAAAATCCCAATTCACACATACAGTATATGTAGTAGTGAAAGGAATAAGCATTGAAATACTGGCCCTACCTAGGACGATATTCTGATGAAATGCTGATCCAGAATGACTATAAGGTCACAGATTCATGTATACAACTGTATATTGCAGACCTACATGCAGATATGTGACTAGGTGATGCAAAAAAAATCTCTTGTGACCCACCTGAGAGTTTGCGACCCAGTCTTTGGGAAACAATGCCATAGACTGTAAATGGACATGGTGCTTCGGGCTCCATTAACTCCAATTAACTTTACACTGAAAAATTATCATCCCTCTCTCTATAACTGCTGCAGTGAGCTCTACATGATCCTGGTGTTTTTATTTAGCTTTTTTGTCTGTTAATTCCTATTCCTAATATGAAACTCAGCTCCAAATTCACTCTTAAAACTGCATGAGCTTCATTTGACTGGAGCTGAACGCTATGGGTAAAGTCGCACTCCCTTAGTCCACAGATTTATATGATCTATATGGTCTGTCCTGGTCCGTATGGTCTGTTTTTTTTTCATGAATCAATATAATTTATCATATATGTACATTACAAATAACTTTGTAGATTATATAGTATGACTTTTGTTCTTGGAGTATCTATCCTAGTTATCCTGTCTCTTGTTTTTCTGTGCATCCCACTTTCTCTGTGCCACTGCTCTGCACAGTTGAGATATTTTGATGGATCCGGCAGCAGCTGTCTCCGCCACCTGAGTCACATCTCTACGTTCTGCTCAGATCGACACTGAAGGGGGGAGCACTGGGGTGATGAGCAGTTAGCGCTTCAATCAAGGATCTCCGAGGCCAGCCGTGCAAAATGAAACCATCGCTGAACAGGTAACTCAATTTAAGTTGCGGTCGCCTTCTCTCCCGCAACAAGCCCAAATACTTTTCCCAGCTGATGAGACGAGGTAACAGACCATGTCAGGAGTCGCTCAGTGCAACACGAGGGGCCCGCTCCTCCCCAAATTGCCTGGACATGGTCAAAGGAGACTCTCCTCTACATTTTTGCAGAGCCAGGAGTGAAGGCCTGAAAAGCAGAGAAAAGGCTCTAGGTTTTCCTCCTCTTCCTTTTCAATCAATAAAATAGACCGACTTTAATCATGGAGCTATTGAGTGCCGGACCTGACAAAATGGAGAGTTGGTCTCCTGGAACCATTTCGAACTTCTTCAGCCCATCGTTTCAAAGGTGTTTTCTTGCACAGGAGGAAAGCACTATATTTGAGCTGAATTTGTAGCAAAGGCAGTGAAGTGGCAAAGCTTCAAAATGTGATTCAATTATACTTAACACTGCAAGGAAATTAGGTTTTAACTGGCTTGTATTTCTGTTCTGGAACATCACAACAAGGTCAGTGATCTAATAGAAATATTATTAAAAAGCTTTTGTCTTTCCGTCATTATCATAATCTTGTACATGCACAATCCCTGAAACTTTGGACCTTAGGCTGAGGACTTGGGTCATACCCAAACAGAAAGGACATTCAAGTCCTGAAAAACAACAAAATTAAGATGACTGGAAATACTGTAACTGAATAATCAAGGTCCATATTTGTGTACCATGAATGAATTAAAAACATGGAGCATCTTCCTTAAAAAACTTGAAGGGGGATAGCTATAAGGAATACTTTAAAGCTTTAGTACCATACAGGAGGGACAAACAAACTTGTCGTGTAATCTTTCCAATAAGTGCATTAAAGTTGCAATAACTTTTATAAGTTATTGCTTTGCCTGGGATGTTTCACAGTACAGTATAGCATTACACAAATATATCTTGTATTTATTTAATTACAGGTGTTTTATTTCTCAAAACTAATAAAAACATGCATTATTACTCTGAATGGGCCCACTTCTCCATAGATCTGACTAATAACTTGGCCTTGTGATGTGGCCTACTTGTCTCCATGGAGATAGTTCAATTAAATGCCATCCTGTAGATGATTCGAAAAACATTAACATCTACATGGAAACAAGCAGGTGGTGGACGCTCTACCAGAAAAGTTACACAATTCAACTTAAGTGTTGCACTTTTGTGGCTAATTTTACAGTGTATAATTGGTGTAATACTCTAACTTTAATTATATGATTATTGTCATCAAGAAATCCCTTAAAATACAGAGTAGCATAGTAACATCTGTCAGTATCACATGTATAGAAAATAGGAGAGCGGATGACTGCCTATGACCTCCGTGATGAGGACTTGGGTTAAATACTGGGGCTATAACCTGAAAAGACCCTGAGGTGAATGGAACTAGTCAATGATGAAATGGTGAGGAGGTTAAGAGAGGATGTCGATATGGGACATTGATGAAGTGGTGTCAAGGATTATATGGGAGAGTCTTGTTGCTATAGGACAACAGTCAATGATGAGGTAAGGAGGAGAAAGATGTTTGTGGACGCTGACCACTGATGACACTGAAATGGCCGGAAATGATGGGGTTGCCTCTGTTCGGATTTATGCTTCATTTGTCCCTCATTAATCCTATGAAGTGGAACCTGTTCATTAAATAATAGACCACTAAATATAGATGCGTTAGCCACAAATCCATCACAAACATAATGCTTGCAGCAGTACTTGGAATATATCGATGGCGTTTTTTTCATGACTTTGAACTTAGGACTTGTATTGTTGTTGTGTTGTTGTTGGTTGGTTTGTTGGTCTTTTATGGGAAAAAAACATAATAGGCCAATATATAAGTTTTAGCTTTTACCACTGGTGAAGACTAAAAGATTTCACAAGTTAGTTCTGCAATGAGTACTCTCCTACAAAGCAGCAGTTAAAGGGCCCTTATTATACTTTTTTCTGTGTTTTTTTTTTTCTGATATACTGTATGTTATAATGTTGATTCCTCATCACAAACATACCTGGGCTTGTGTTTTGTTTCATTCACACATGTTAAACACACAAACCCTGCATATTTAGGCGTTTAGAGTTCTCAAACAGAAAACACTCTATTCCACCTTGAGATGTCATGTGGTGATACAGGAAGGGCTTCACTGTGTTTTTAAACTTCATACACCTTCACTAGAATCATTTGGATTATTCCAGATTTGAAATTGCCAATTTCGACTAAACAAAAGGTAAACGGTAACTGATAACTTGAGAACTACCACTACATGACATCACAAGGTGGAACAGAGCATTTTGAGGTTTGTAGACGTAGACAAACTAATATTAAAGGACTCAAACATGTGTGAGTGAAACAAAACACAGCCAGGTATGTTTTTGATGAGCTCATAATGTTACTTTATAACAACCTCTTTTATTAGGAAATTAGGGAAGGTCTACAATTATCATATACTTCAAATTTTTACGTTTTAGAATAGGGATGTAACAATATTCAAATCTCTTGGTACAGTATTTTCACGATATACATTTCATGGTATGATATTTATTGTGATATTTGTGGAGGCTAAAAAAAGTGTGAACATGCTTTTTTTTTCTCTTAAAATGCCTTGAGACTTAATCCAAAGAACTAAGATTTAAAAGTGTTAGAACTGTTATTTCTTCATGTAGTCTTTTTTTAGCTACTGCTGCACCATAACAATGAATTTAAGGAGAGAAACTTGTAATTCAATATATTGTGACGGCCCACGATATTATTGAGAGACTTTTGATGGTACGATATCACGATATTTCAGTTAGTGTTACATCCCTGTTTTAGATTAATAATATTTAAAAGACAAATGGAGTACAATGCAAATTTAAAGTCACCATGGTAACGATATAAAAAGATTTATGTTTCAGCGCATGTTCTGTCTCATAACACCCTTTCTAATAATTGTTCTCCGTCCCATTCAAGTAATGATCACGTCGACCTTTTCTAGATCCATCAATGTAGTCACACTGGTATATTGCGTTTAATGAGCAGAATGAAACATGGGGCTCAATAACGCTACCTTCTTCTCCATTATTTACCACAGTGAAAAAGTTAGCTCTGTTAATTATTGCAAATGTGCTACAATGAAAATGCCAATGCCACTTTAAAGCCTCAGGTGCGTTCAGGGGAGTGATGTACGACGGGTTCTTTTGGGACTACACCAAACAGACATACAGTGTAACTGCAGTTGGAAATGGCTTTAGATGTTGCACATGGTGTTTCTGTAAAGTCTTGTACAGCTCCATTAGAAGACATTAGATAAAAGTTTAATGTTCCCTGTGGGCAGATTGGATCAGTACACCTTCATGTTGGAGGGGGGAGCACTCTGAACATACCACTAACTGAATCTATTATGAGGGAGTAATGAGAAAGGCAGGTCTAGGTTATGGAGATTCGTCCTTATGAAGTGTCCTTGGGCAGGCAGCGTCGGCACCTGTTGTATTGTCCTTACTGAGAGGAGAGGAGATAAATCTTAACTCCAACACAAGCAGATATCATAACGTAGGGTGGTTCTCATTCATGATAATAGTCTAGGTAAGCTTAGGTGTTTTTTTATGGGATCAAGGAGCGCTTCCATCATGTGTCACTCAGGCTGTCAATGCAAAAAAGGAAGGAAATGTACTGTATGACCATGAAGCTATACCCATCAATCCACAAATGTCAAACCATTGCATTTTTTGCCAGTCCACAACCAAAATAAATCAAGACCTGTGTTTGGAAGAAGCAGCTCATTCTACTCATTCAATCTATGTTATGCAAATCACTGCACATTTGGAAAGAGAATGATTAACAATGTTGGCCAGAAAGAGAGACATGGCATCGCAAAAAAGGGAAGATAAAATAGATATATTATATTTTTTAAACAACATTGATCTTGTGAGCTTTTAGTTCTGTTATAATGTTGTTAGCTCATCAGAAACATACCCAAGCTTGTGTTTTTTTTTCATTCACACATGATTAAGTAACCCTTTATTTTTAGTCTGTCTACATCCACAAAGCTCAAAATGTTCTGTTTCTGTTTCACCTTGTGATGTCATGTAAGGGTCGTTTTCAAGTTAACAGCTACCTGTTACTTTTTTTTCAGTTGAGATTGGCAATTCTAAGGCTGAAATTATCCAAATGGTTAGAGTGAAAGTGTATGGAGTTTAAAAACACAGTGGAGCACTTCCCGTATTACCACATGACATCACAAGGTGGCACAGTGTGTTTTCTGTTTGAGAGAAGACTCAGTTTAAGTATGCAGAGTTTGTGTGCATGTGAATGAAACAAAACACAACTCCAGGTAACATAGATCAGAAAATGTCAGAAAATATGTTTTATGTTTTCTTTAAATCATTTTAAGTATAAATCTTTTACATTTTATGTTTCTGAACTTGAATGTATGCATAAAAATGAAATGTGAAACCCTAAACTATTTTAGCAAAAAAAATTCAAAACTCAATTGTGGATTATTTTCTCTAGATTCTCACCTCAAACCATCCCTGAACTTCGCCAATTACCTTTTCTGAAAATTTTATTAAAATATAAATATTTTAGTTGTCCTTCGTGGTAATAATGACACACACTGCTTACTTTTTTATACCTCTCAAAGTCAATCTATCTCTATCTGTCTTTTTATCCTTGAATGGAGAGTTGAGTTCTCTGCTTTATGTGTAGAGCCTCTTAGAGATAGTGGGAGTATTTCTGGGTCCATGCTGCTTGGGGACTAGATCAACACTACAGAGACCAGAGATGTTCGGTGTATGGTTGGAGCGATGATTACCACCCGCTGTGCCTTGTTATTGCTGTAGTGTGCTCTGCAGTGCATCAGACTTACACAGTTCCTCATTATCAAAATTCAAATAGCTTATGCCCGATAACATCTACCCAAAATGAAACCCGATTTCAATAGAACATTTCCTCCATTGCACACGGCAC